TTTGGGAATCCATGCTGTAAAATATATTACCTCACATCCCCACACCTCCAATTAGCCCCTTCTGTCGGTTCTCGGACCATGCAACCAATCCCTCTGAAGCTGCAGGAGAGCATGTGTGCTCCCTCCCAGTGGAGGAGTGGTCCATGCACTATGGTACTGATTGAATTGGACATTTTGGCCAACAATTCTTTCCTGGTCTGTGATCCCCTCACGACTCATCTCCCACTTTGCAACTTGCATCCCTGTGTTACCTCAAGCCTCAACTGCCTTGCTCTGTCCCACTGTCTGGTTTCCTTGCCATTGGCTTTGCTCTGTGAAGTGTGGGAAGGGGTTTGGTGGATACACATTGTATCTGAGCTGCCTAGGCTGCATTTTTTCTGTGCCACCTGGGCTAGCTGCCTCACTTAGCTCAGTTGGCTCTTTTCCCTCTTGAGGGATTGTGTAAGGAGGGGTGAATGTCACCCTTTGCATAAAAGGAGATGATCCCTTTGCCCCTTTTGCTTGGGCTGTGCTGGTAGACCCTGTGCACCTGTAAAACCAGTATCAATCTGCCAAGCCTGGGTCTTAGGTGAGTACTGCATTCTGCACTTGTGATGAGGGAAAACTTTCAGAGCAATGACCCTTCCAGCTGGGTACGTCCCTGGAGGAACACCTCCCCATCCCCCCATGTTCCCAGAAGAGCTAGTTTTGTTTTCTGGGGATGCACATAATATGTCAGCAAAGCAGCCACAAAGGGCACATCTACACTCAGCATTATTTCAAAATAATGAAATAACGGGCTTCTTATTCCAACATCTGAAACCCCCATTTCACAAGGAGTAAGGGAAGGCAAAGAAAAAGTGTTCTTCCTTCGCCTTCCTGCTATGTAGACAGCGCTGAGCTAAGCTACTTCGACTTGTAGCTGAAGCTGTGTAGCTTAATTCAACTTTAGCCTGCAATGTAGTTATAGCCAAGGTGATTTCATAGCACAACGGGGCACCCCAAGTGTGATAACACACATTGCACAGGCCTCTCACCCTGTTGGATTCATAGTCCCATGCCTGTGCCATGGAATAGCTTCAAGGCTGTTGCACAAATGCAACGCATGACCCTGGGGGAGAACAGCATTATATGCCGGTTTTTATAAGCAGTGTAACTGTGTGGTGTGTCAAGATCTGCCTCGAATAAAATGGGAAATAGCTGAGCTGTAGCGTCTTTAAAAAAAAAAAAGTCTGGATAGTAAGCTTGCAGCTTTAACAAGGGAGGAGCCAGTTTCCATGGTTAATAAGTAACAACAGACTGGGAGGCCAATGTATGTTGTGAGCTGGGAGATCTTCAGTGACCTTTGGGAAAGACACTGTGGATTGTCTGTGGTTTTCTTTATTTACTGAATTGCACTTTGTAATAGATTTCCTTGAACCAAGAAACTAAATACCTAGCAAATGTCTCCATCAAACTATAATCAGTGACTGGTTTAGATTCAATTAACTGAGGGTGCTAATTTTCTTTCTCTATCTTTCTTGTTCCATAAAATCTTGATGCTGATAGTTAATGTCTTAGTTTTCTATGTGGGCACTGGCAAATCCATTCCCATTGTGTCTTGGGTGGAGTGGAAGCTTTCTGAGCCACAGGTACTGAAAATGGCCACCTAGAGCATGTGCAGGGAGTTATTATTTTGTCGTTGAACCAGGGCATTTATCAGAACTGCACGACATGACAGAGCTGCATGAAGCTGTGGCTTTGGGCGATTATGATTTGGCGAATGAGCTTCTGAAAAGGGGGCTTTGTGATGTGAATTGCAAAGATACAGATTGGAATGACAGGACACCCCTACACTGGGCTGCTGCTAAAGGTAAGAATAGCTCATGTACATATTGACATTAAAGTCAGAGAAAATAGTGCTGCTGCTTCTTATGTTACACTCTGCAGCATAGGTGCTGGAAGTAGGGATGCTGGTGGCTGTCACACCCCCTGGCTTGCATGGTTTCCAGCATACACACTGTTTATAGTTTGCTTCAATGACTCAGCACCCCCACTCAGCAAACTGTTCCAGCACCACTATTAAAGGGTTATGCAGAGTGTTGATACTTAACACTGAGCAGTTCTGATCCTGTGCTCCTGGACCACACAGGAAAACTATTGAACTAACAGGGAATTTTGTCCGTGAAAAAACTTGTGGGATTGGACTCCAAATGATCATTTTTTGTTCGTATAAAGTTTGATTATTTGAAAGAGATAATGTATAATAATATGTAATATATAATAGAACATAAAGACACAAGTAACAACAGGCTCGGATAATATGCATATAATGGCCCAGTTTCTACCTCCACTTTGATTTAACTTTGGAGTAGCTGCACTGATTTGAGTCGATTTATTCCTGGTTTACACCTGTGTGAAGGGGGAATCAATGTGTAGACTCAATTGACATTTATGAAAAACAGACTGAGCACGGTAACTACACAGTGGATTAAACTCCCCTCTTTCATTTTCAGTATTGGATTTTTCAAATCAGCAATGCAGGACCACATCCTATGCAGCTGTGACCAAAATACAGCTGACATTTTGAGGTTTAGCATCAGAACTGTTTATTAAAGTGACCCCTAGAAGGAAGTGGGGTGGGAGTGTGCAGATATAACCAAAGGCTTAATTTTAAGAGGTTCTGTATAGGGGTCACAGTGAGCTTAATTTAGCCTGCCATATCTTTACAATGACAATGCATGAGAAGGCAAGAATCCATCTTGACCCTCAGATTTGAATTTCCAGGGCAAGTAGTGTGGGAAAAACAAACATCTTTTTCTTGCAAAGGAATTGAAGTCACCAAACTGGATTACACCCAAAATCCATCCAATCCAGTATTTTGTCCCTGACTGTGATCAATACCAGACACTTTAGAGAAAGGTAAAAAAACTCCACAGCAGGCCGATGCGGTATAATCTGCTCGCCTACTTAGAAATTGGCTTAAATCACAAATACATGAGGTCTGTATGGGTATGTCTACACATCAAAGTTAATTTGAAATAGCAGTCGTTATTTCGAATTAACTTTAATAGCGTCTACACAGGCAAACCGCTATTTCAAAATAAATTCGAAATAGCGGAGTGCTTATTTCAAATTTGGTAAAACTCATTCTACGAGGAATAACGCCAAATTCGAAATAGTTAAATCGAAACAAGCGCTGTGTAGATGCTTATTTCAGAAATAGGGGGCCTCCAGCCCTTTCCCAGGGTGCCCTGGTGGCCACTCTGGGCCAAACCAGGAAAACTCTTCTGCTCCCCCGCATCCAGTCCTGGAGCCCTTAAAGGAATAGTCTGTTTGGCCACAGGGCCTGTGCCAGGTCCAGGTCTGCCAGCCCAGAGCCAAAAGGTGCTGCCCCTGACCTAGTTGCCAGCATGAGTGAGCCAGCCAGTGCCAGCCAGCCCTCCACCGCTCCCCAGGAGCAGGCTAGCAGGTCCCAGGAGCCTGTCAGGGGCTGGAAAAGGCGGGGGCCCTCCTGGTCCACTGCGGAGATCATGGACCTCATTGAGGTTTGGGGGGAATCCTCCAACGTCCATGATCTCTGCACTAGATGCAGGAACGCGGTTGTCTACAGACGGATGGCTGGCAGCCTGGCCACCAAAGGCCACATGCACACCCAGGAGCAGGTGTGCATGAAGATGAAAGAGCTGAGCCAGGCCGATGCCAGGGCCACAGGGAGCAGCTCACAACCAGGGGCAGACCCAGACCCCTTCTCCTACTTTGAGGCCCTGGACTGCATCTTTGGGAACCGGACGGTCCGTGCCCCCCAAGTGGTCATTGACCCTGGGGCAGAGGGCCCTGAGCAGGGCACGGAGCAGGAGGAGGCCAGGAGTTGCAGGAGCCTGGAGGGAGTGTGGCAGTCACCCTGGACCCTCAAGGCATACCAGCAGGACTATCACCACTGTCTTCCGAGCCAGGGAGGCCTTGACATGTGAGTGCCATCACTGTCCCCTTATGTGGGGTGGGGGGAGGGGGGAGAGGGGGGAGAGGGAGCCCGGGGACCATGCGTGTGGGCCTTGCTGAGCATGGATCATGCAGCAACCTGTGCATGTGCCATGCCAGCAGGGGCAAGTGGCCTTGGCTGGCTGCCACACAGGGACCCTGGCACACATGTATGTATACCCACACACATGTATGTATGAAGGTACATGACATGCTCTGTACCCTGGGTAGGGACACTGCACAATGCCCTCTCTCCACAGGCCCCCTCTATGCAGAGGCAGGGCACATCTGCTCCCTGCCCCACACACCCACACCCACACTATATACAGCACAGGGGCATGGGGACAGTCCCGGGCCAGCTCACACTCCTGGGGATAGCAGGACATGATGGTGCGGAGACCTGCTGTCCTCACCTTGCAAAGGGGGGCTGGGCTTCACCCACTGTGTCCCCAGGGAGAACTGACCACCTGTCTGGTTTCTCCACAGCTACACCAGCTATGGGTGCAGGGTGCACCACCCTGCCTGGGACACCCTCCCACACCTGGGCCAGAAGGCGCACCCAGAACCAGGAGGGATACCAGTAGCAGCACCTGGGGTTACTGCAAAGGCAGGTCCACAGCCAGGAGCACTGGGTTCAGGAAGACCTCTAGCTGTGGTGGGAGAGCTTGCAGGAGCTGTGTGACTAGGGCCGTGCCATCCACGACCACCTGCAGACCATGGTGCAGAGATTGCTTCCTGCTGCTGCTTCAGCTCCTGCTGCCGCTCCAGCCCCTGTGGCCACCCCACGGAGGAGTTGTGGTACACCCGTGCATTGTGTGCTTTGCTGGACCAGCCCACGTTGATGTCCACGAACTGGCCCAGGTGGTCAGACACAGCCTGCAGGATGACTGAAAAATATCCCTTCTGATTGATCTAGAGGCTGGCCTGGTGTTCCGGGGCACAAATGGGGATGTGCGTCCCATCGATTTCTCCCCCTCCCCCACAGTTGGGGAAGCTTAGGGCGCCAAACCCCTCGATCACCATGTCCAAATTGGTGAGGCAGATGACTCTGCAGAGAGCACTCTATTGATGGCCTTGACCACCTGTAGGGGAACACGTGTGTTTTTATTTGACATCAGGAAGGGGGGTTAGGGAGGGGAAAGTGGAAGGACATGAGGGTGGAATAAGGCACAAGGCCCCAGTGGGGCACGCCAGGGAGACTTCACTCCTCCTCCATCTGGAAGGTCTCCCACAGGGCCTCCTGGATACCAACAGCCCCCCGATGGGCCTCCCAGCTGGCAGCCATGTGGGGCTGCGCGTACAGGCCAGCCAAGTGGTCGGTCTCTGCCATCCAGCCTGGCAGGAAAGCCTCCCCCTTCCGCTCACACAAATTGTGCAGCACGCCGCCATCACGTGCGGAATATTGCTATCGGAGAGGTCGAGATGGTGAGGAGGTATCAAAATTGGGCCTTCCGCCTGCTGAAGGCCCCCTCCACCACAATGGGGGCCCTGCTGAGCCTGGCATTAAAGGTCTGCCAGGAGGGGTTGAGGTGTCCCATGTAGGGCTTCATGAGCCAAGGTTGTAGCAGATAGGTCGCATCCTCCACCAGGCACACAGGCATGTCCACGTCCCCAACCCTGATGTGGCAGTCAGGGAAGAAGGTCCCGGCATGTAGCCTCTGGCACACATTGGAGTTGCGGTAAACCCATGCGTCATGTGCTTTGCTGGACCAGCCCATGTTGATGTCCAGGAAGCAGCCCCAGTGGTCAGACACGGCCTGCAGGATGACCGAGAAGTACCCCTTCCAGTTAATGTACAGAGAGGCCTGGTGGTCCGGGATGGGGATGTGTGTCCCATCGATTGCTCCCCCCCGCAGTTTGGGAAGCCCAGGGTGCCGAACCCCTCTATGACCGCGTCCACATCAGTGAGGCGAATGACTCCATGGAGCAGCACTCTGTTGATGGCCTTGACCACCTGCAGAGGAACACACAAAACCACCGAGAGTCACTGGGGTGCCAGGGTGGCTCAGAGTGCTCCTTCCCCGCCACTGCCCTGTGCCCCCCAATCCCCCAGGAGTATCCCCCCCTGCAATCCTGGCCACCACGGGCAGTCTGTAGTGCGGCTGGGACAGACCAAATCCTCCTGTGGAGGGGACTTGGACCCCCTTGCCTCCTTTCCCCTAGGGCAGTCCATCTCCTCCTCACACACACACCCCACCTCCCTGGCCGGAGCCTGCCATACCTGCATGGATCTCCCCACTCTGAACTGGTTCCCCACGGATCGGTAGCTATCCGGCATGGAGACCTTCCATAGGGCGATGGCCACCCACTTGTGGAAGGGAATGACAGGCCTCATGCGTGTGTCCTGTCACTGCAGAGCAGGGGAGAGCCACTCGCAGAGCTCGAGGAAGGTGTCCATCTTCATCCTGAAGTTCTGGGTCCATTGTTGGTCTCCCCTGTGCTCCAGGATGATGTGGTCCCACCAGTCGCTGCTGGTGTCCAGACACTAGATGCAGCGGGGCATGCTGGCATCTGACTGTTGCTCCTCCACGGCCCCCAACGGGGTCTGGAAGAGGACCTGGTGGTTGGGATGCCGCAGAAACTGCCAGACAGTCTCCAGCACTTGCTGCCAGGCTTACAGCAAGACATCCAAAATGAGCACCAGAGTGCCCAGAGGCAGCTCTGTCTCCATGGTGCTGAGCACTGTGGAGTCCTGAATCAGGGCAACCAAAGCAATCAGGGTATGTCTACACTACAAAGTTAATGCGAAATAACAGGAGTTATTTCGAATTAACTTTAGTAGCATCTATACAGGCAAACCACTATTTCGAAATAAATTCGAAATAGTAGAGCCCTTATTTCGAATTTGGTAAACCTCATTCTATGAGGAGTAACACCAAATTTGAAATAGCT